ATCTCGTCTATGTCAGTAAAAAACGCGTAACAGGTCGTTAAAATTTTGAACGAAAGTGAAATTGCAAAAATGTGTGATTTTTACGCTATTTTACGCGTTATTTTTCGATGCTTGTCTGACTGGGCTCAGATGTCTGAAAAGCCTGTGCGTTTCTTCGAAAACCTTGGTTCTTGAGGAAAGTTTAATCTCTATATGGTGGACACCTCCATATAGTAGACACTTTTGAAAAGTCCGAAGGGTGTCCACTATAGAGAGGTTTCACTGTATATTCAAGTAGAAAGAAGTATTTACTATACATTCATTCGAAGTTTTGTCAAGTTTTCTACAAACTTGTGATAATGTTTTCACATAAGAAGTTAAAATGAAAAATAACTTATTTTAAAGTTGCCTTTAAAAAATGTCTTGCTGTTTCATTCTTGCAGAAAAAGAGCAATTAATTATTTCTCAATAAATACAGTATAATTGTTCAATCAGAGTCTGAAATAAAATAAATTAACAAGAAAAGTGTTTGAACACCTTTTTGATGATGACTATGAATTAAATTTTATCATTCGATTACTCAACAATTGAAAATATCATGAAGACTTTACACATTCATTTACGCATATTTAAATTGAATTAACATGTTGAATACTTGATTAATTATACACAACTTTACTGTTCTACGTATTTCTAAACGCACCAATGTTTCGACGAAAAACTTCTTTGGCCGGCAATTTAAAATCATATAAAGAGTTCTTCGGTAGTATTTTTCTTTTGACAAACATGATGAAAAATTAATGAAAAGAAAAACATTGGGAAATCTCAATAAAGACGAAAAAACTTGGCTCGAATAAACATTAAACTGATTATTCTCTCACTTTGTTTGATGATATTTACTATAGAGGTTTATCTTACTGTTTTTTGACTTTACTTCTCTATTTTCTTTTTTTTCCGCAGCCGTGTTAATTGAAAAGAAAATCTTTACTCTTGGTATTTTACATAATTGGTCTTCAGCTCCTTTTTGAAGTTTTCTCATGCTATTTGTTACTTATGTCATGATCAAGCTCTTCGTGAAGCACTCATCAATCATATCATTATTTTAATTCTCTTTTCTTTTTGTTGTGTCTTCAATCTAACAACTATTATCTAACTAAATGTGAATATGGATGTCGGTTATTAAATGATCTATTATTGAAGAATCCTATCTTAATGAAGTATGAATTGATTTAAGATATTATAAAATAATTGATGATGTTTAGGAAAAAATTGCACAATATATTTAAAAAAAAACTTATTTCATTTTTTATTGTGAATCAGAGGAATATTCTCACAGTAAATAATATTGATAAGAAACAACTAATATACTTGATCAATTGAACAAACATTTTGTTTCAATGTATTTCGAAAAATCGTATATTAACAAATAGTTGTCTAAGATTAATTTTCTAAATGATGCCTCAATAATCGTATATTGAAATTTGTATGACTAGCAGTAAAGAGTACATTTATTTTCAAAAAATTGATCAACACTAATGTGATAATCATAAACTTAATAAGTTTCTAAAGATAATTCAAACGAAATTATCAGTAGATGCTTTACCAATAAATAATATTACTATTCAATCGACTTAGCATACAAATTCATTTGAAAATCCGATCACTACATTCGAACTTCCAGATATTATCAATTGATTAGACGAAAATGTTATTTTAAGAAATATTTATTACAAAATATATGAATTTTAAAAAGATAAACAACAGACTTGTAACGGATCAAGAATTTTTGAACTGATATGATGCAACCGATGCAAAAGATCTTTTAGACCAATGAAAACTGACAAAAACTGATCGATTTGTTAGATCGTTATTAATCAGTTAGTGGAAATGGCTTCAAGAAACATTCATTTTCTTTTTTGCACTCAGATTTTTACAAGTCTTCAGGAAGAAATATCACGTTATTGTCGTTTATATCTATTACTAAATATAGCACGAAAAAAACAAGTCATATACCCATCAACTGATCGTTAAACTCCACAACTTGGATTTTCTCACAAAGCCTTTTCAGACAAATCGAACGTTTCTTTTCCAATGACGATCGAAACCTAAATTTAATCTTTATCAAAACATATATGATGGAAGTTTAGCTCAAGTCACATAGCTTTAATTGTGCTGTGTTAAAAAACTGAAACACACTTCAATTGAGGAAATAAAACAGTATCAATGAATAGAAGAAAATAAAACTAGTAATTCTTAAAACAATACTGTTTGATTAGATGTGGAAAAGAGCAAGCAAACTTGCTCTCAACAAACTTTATGAGAGAAAAATAGAATAGTTATCGAATATTTTCCAAACAGTCCGATTCAACTGAACTAGACCAGTTACAACTCTGGTATACAATTCGTTATGTATGCTGAATGTCTTCACAATAATTGGAAAAGTAACCATTGGAATGGTATGCTTCACGACATACAAAAAACAAATATAAATTTGATGAATTAACTAAATATGAATTGCTTAATTTAACTCTTAAATGTATATAAAAACAAAAACTTGTTCAAATAACAAAGTCAAGCACTATATTATTATAATCATTATTTTATAAAATGACAGTCTAATCATAGTATCATATACGACCAAGAAAAAAAACCAAATGTAATTACTTTTCTTCTTGTTTTTCAAGTAAGTCAAATATTGACTTGTACTTTCATTCTGCTTTATTTAAGCAGACAAAAGATACACTTATCTTCTACTTTTTTATCGTCTGTTTTATTTAAAACAATAACCATGTGGTCAATTGTTTTTACTATCAGTATAGCATTATATGTTTTTTATAGTCTATTCAAATATTGGACACTAGGTCCATGACACATTTACAAAAATTTATGGACATAAGCTATTCTAGAACAATGTACACCTATTGTAGGCTAAAAATCCTTAGTCTAGATTGTGTGACGCTAGCTGAAGACCCTTTCTCTCATGTTCTTAATATGACCAATAAATATAGAAGCTATATTATCATGGATCATTTTGATCCCGTAGCTAGTCTCATTATAAATGATCCTTTGTTAATTCAAGAAGTTTTAAAAACTAATGCTCGTTCTTATCAAAAATCTAATTTTATGCGATTAATTCTAAAAACATTATTAACCTATCATACTCTCTTAATGACTGAAGATAATATTAATAGTCAACATCGAAGTTTTATTACACCTGTTTCTCAACATCAAAATATAAATTCAATGATTTGACTTAGGATTGAAAGAATATCGAATATTCTTGATAAATGAAAATTAGTTCTTAGTAATGCAAAGAATCAAGGAATAGATTTAACTGTTAATATTCACAATGAAATGGCACGTTTAACCTTAGATTTTGTAATTGGATGTGTATTTGAAAGTGGTTTAATAAAAAATGAATATTTTCAAGAAGTTATTTATCGAAATGTTATAACAACATAAGAAGATGTTGAATAAAAGAATGCTTAACATGACTTTAATCATTCTAATTATAAATCGTTTACCTTTTCCAAGTAAACAATGTATTAATAAATCAAAACGTAATGTCAGATGAGTTAAACAATGGATTATTGATGATAGAAAAAAAAGGGTTTAACAAAATAAGTTTACAAAGGTTTAGAAATTTATGTTCGATTTTAATCTATTAATAATATTTTTTTTCTACACAGGACCTGTTTTACTTGATTTAATTTTAGCAGAACGTGGTGATGATACAATAAGTAAATTAATTGATGAAGATATTTATGAAGAAGTACTTTTGGTAATTATCAATTCCTTATATGAACTTTAATAAAAAAATATTTCTTTAGTTATTACTGACCATGAAACAACTTCAAATTTAATGATTTAGACATTATATAATTTAGCAAATAATTCTGATATTTGTCATCGTCTAGAAATGGAAATAGGTTTAGTATTAAATGATAATGAAGAAATAACACCATCAACACTTTCTCTTCTTGCTTATACAGAATCTGTTGTAAAAGAATTTTTAAGACTTCATCAACCTATACAATTTATTGTTCGAAAGGCAATTGAAGATAATATATTAGTAGATAGCGATGGAAAAAAAATATATGTTAAAACAGTGGTACTGATATTATGATAAATATTTTTATTCTTCATCAGTAAGTAGATATTTATATTTATTTTCTCATGTTTTTCTATATGAATAGTTTGTAGTTCAGAAAAACATTGGAAAGTAACCATTCAAATTCGATCCATCGAGATTTGAATAACCTCGTTTCGATATACACTTTTATCATTTTCAGCTGGAGCATGTTCGTGTATTGGAAAAAATTTTACTATGTTAGAAGCAGAAATTATCTTATCAATGATTATTAAAAGATTTCGTTTTCAATTTGTATCCGATCAAAAACATATTTCTGAAATTATTATTACTATGAGATAAAAAAGTTTTATATAAAACTCTTCATTTTTTTGTCTAAAACAATTTTATTATAGACCAAAATATGGAATGTGGATGAAAAATTTGTCTCGAGAGCAATCACAAATACATGTATTTTATATCATACACATTTGTTTCCCTGTTAGATGCAATAAAAGTTTTTAAAAAATCCTTCAACAATGGTAAATATGAAATTTACTATAGTATATAATCGAAACATTGATTGTTGATAGAAACATAATTTCATATTGATATATATAAAATAATGATAGATACATAATGAAGATATCTACGAAAGATGTACGGTAAGATTCAAGGATATAAGAGACGTTTTGTATGAAAATGACCTTTTAGATAATGATCATTTCATACATGTAGCGATATCTAGTGGAAATCGATGTGGATAGTTCAAATGGCTAATAAAGGAATTATCGGCAAAACACAAAAACGAACGAACGAATCTATTGACAAAAGTAACGAATTGCTCGTTTTAAGATATTAGAAATATGAGTGAACCATTGTTAACATCATCAAGTGATTCTCTTGAATCATCATTTTCAGAAAATGCAAATGAAACTTTCGAATCTTATTCATTATTATTTGACAAAGCTAAACATAATTTTTCTACAAGTTCAGAAATTTCATTTATTAAACATGAATCATCACCAATAGATCAAAATCAAACAGTTACAAAAGAAACATTAACAACAATTAATAATGAATTAAACGAAAATTCTATTAACTTTAATCCTTGGCTTTTATTATTTACACAAGATGATGAACAACAACAACAACAAACAGTAAGATTTAATTAAAATTTTCAAATTTAATAAAATAAAATTTTGTTCTCTTTTCGTTTTATTAAAATTGTTAAGATTTCATGATTTTCATTCAAAAATTTTATAGTGAAAACTTAGAGAATAAATCCGTTCATCCCTTTTTATTACAATGTATAGTATTCGTAGTCACATGTACTTATGATTGATTAGATTGTCTCGATAAATGTACTAAGTTTCATATGAATACTGATTGAACTGTTTAGGATCAAATAAAAACAAATATTAAAACATCAACAAAAATACTTAATAATAGTGATGAAAAAGAATCACATGACAAGAAAGGTAAAAAGAATAACATTATTTATACCGAATTAGAATATAATTACTCTTATTTAGAGACACAGTGGGTAAATACTAGACAAGGTCAATCAAAAAGGAAGACAGACTTGCATAATCAACAATATAAATCAAAAAGGTAATTTGTATCTATTAACATATTTTGTATTTTTCTTTCTTAAATAATTTTTGCGTTCTTCTTCTTCTCTCTCTCTCTCTCTCTCTTTTTCTTTGTGGGTCTATCAATCGGATATGATTTCGCCTGTACACTTGCTTTTCTCGATGGAAATTACCTTTCTATGCCCTGTCTGTGTATTCACATGATTTTATTTCCCCCTTTTCTTTTCTCTTCTTCATTTTCTCTCTCTGTTCGTCTCCGTTGGTCGTTGTTATAAATATATCGAGACTGTATGTGAACTTGCTTCGTCCGTACAAGCACATCGTGATCATTTTTATTTCTGCTCACGTCGTCGTCGTCGTCGTCGTCGACGGATAACAGCATTTATCCAGCTGATTTCGATAAAAATGGATTCTTAGTTGAGAAAAAAAAAATGTTAAAACATATTGTTCATTCTTATCATGGAAAACTTCATACATTTGATGATTTTTATCGTAATGATTCAAATCCAATAAAATCTCGTTCATCATCTAATGAATTAACATCAACAAATAATTGTTCATCATCATCTCCAACATCTCCATGTTCTCCAAATAGTCCTCCATATACATTTTATAATGTTTTTTCTGATTTTAAATTCTCAACAACACCAGATGTTGTACCTGAAGAAGATGAAACTGAAGATGATAATGAAATAATTGAACAAGAATTCAATTCTATACCAGCTGTTTTTTATCTTGAAGATGAACAACATAATCAACCTCAAATATCATCTTCATCTTCTAATCGATCTTCATCAATTCTTAGTCGTTTTCGACATTCAAATAATAATAATAATAATAATCATCTTATGGTTAAACAAAATTCAGTTAATGAAAATCAAATGAATTTAACAAAATTACGTAAAAATGATTTTATTGATTTATCAATAAATAAACATCGTTTTCTTAAACGTTCAGAAACAATAACTCATACAAATCGTTTAATAGATAAAAAATTATCTGCTAATGATGAGTTTCCAGATTTATCATTTTCACCAACAAATGATGTTGTTAAAAAACATCGTTCATTTGTTTCATTATTGAATTATTTTCATCATAATCATCATCAAAATTTATCAACAAAAAATTCTGATAAATCAAATTTGGAAAATTTTAATTTAAATAATAATGAATTTTCACGTCCAAAAATTATTAAACAAAAAACTTTGCCATTAAATAATGAAGTCTATACACCGGTGAATAAATCTCCTCCAAAACAAATTTTACCAAAACTTGCATCTCTATTTCATCGTCCATCATTTGAACAGCATAAATATCGTGTAGGAAATTTAAAAGCTCGTCTTCATCATAGAAGACATTCACCACCATTAACAAATAATGCACTTAAATTTCAATGTCAAGATTCTAATGAACTTATAAAAGCAATAAAACGATCAGAAGGTCAACAATATCATGATAATGATAATATTCCTTGTCAACGTCCTGTTAAACCAGTAATTATGAAACGTGTTCATACATGGCATAATGCATTTGATTTACGACCAATTGATCAGTGTCTTGAATATTGACTTAATTCTTCTTTTTTTTTCTTCTTTATATGTCTTGTGCATTTATTTCAATTCAATAATATACATTATTCTTTTTCTTTTATATAGAGATTCTTTGCAAAATCGACGAACAAATCATAGTAGTGATGATGATCAAGCATTTGAAAAATGTAATATTTCTATATAATTTTCGTCATTTTAATAGATACTTAAAAGTTGAATGCGAAGAGGGAAGGGGGCAAGAAGAATAACCAGATATACGATTTTCAAGTTGAATTTGGTTAATTGTGGTTCTTTTATCTAATGTAGATATGTACAGAGTCAAATTTACTTGGTTCATATCTAAAAGAGACAGGAACTTGAATTGATTTAATCATGTCTTATCCGATGCCAATACCATACTCGATCTGACGAAGAAATGTTTCTAGATGTCAAGTCATCTTTGATTCGGAACTATGTACATCTTGTAGGTTCAAATGAACTATGAATAAGTTGAAAAGAGTTCGAACTAATAGCTTATTACTGCCAAAATATAGTATTTTTATCGTATTTTTTAGCAGAACGCCGTCGTCTCCTTGAAGAATACTAGAAAAATTGAGTTTCAATTTAAGACTTGAAGCTTTACACAGAGACAAGTCTTAATGAAAATAGCTTATTGTCAAAGTTTCAGATTTTTTGATTGTGTCTTTTATGAAATATGAATATCAAAATTTACCATTGAAAATGAGCAGCGTAAAAAATTTTTTTTTAACCATGACCACATCTTAGGATAGAAGCAATCAGAATATCGAAAACTTTTTTAATAAAATATTCTCATGAAGGTCTGTCTCTATACGAAGTTTTGAATCGAAATTAGAAGTTCAGTTTTCATGATGTTCCTGAGGAGAACTACAGTATTCTGATAAAAAATACAGCACCACGACAGTAATAAGCTATTAGTTCGAACTCTTTTCAAAATATTTATAGCTCATTCAAACCTGAAAAATGCACATAGATCCGGCTCAAAAGTGATTCGACAATCGAAAATGTTCCATCGTGAGTCTTACAAATATTTTAATTTCCATAGAAAAATTCAATTATTCGTGTATTGTAATTTTTCTTGCCATCGTTTTATTCTAGAATTAATATTAAAATCTTAGAAATATTCCATTTTACTTCATAGTTTTACAAGAACATCGAACGCCAAAACCAGTTAGATCTGAACATAAGTCACCAATAAAGCAAAGAAGAAAGAATAGAAATAGGTATTGATTAAACACGTATTACTTTATTTTGAATATATTTACTGTTGAAATTTTAGTTTAAAAGAATTTATTTGTGACTCATCATCTTCATCTGATGAAGAACATCCATTAGAATTTTATCCAAAAGTAAATCGATTAATTGATAATGATTTATCATGGCGAAAGTAAAATTCATTTAAAAACATTGATTATTTGAAATATTTTCTTTTCTTTACTAGGGTTGATGATGATTATGCATCAGATGAATCTAGTCAATCATCTTCATCTTCATCAGAAAATGATAGTCGATTAACAAAAAAGAAAAAAGATCGACAAATATCTGTAAATTTTCTTGAATCACTTTCAAAATACGTACCTATAGAAGATAAACATATTGATGCTAAACAGTAGATATTCGAATTTTAATTTTTTCTAATTAATATTTCTTTGTTTTTGTTTTGTAATAGATATTTTACTCGATCAGGATTTAAAAATAAAAAAAAACGAGAAGAATTAGCACAGAAACTTTTTTCAATATTTGATCAAGATGTTTTTTCTGCAAAAGTAAATTGTTTGTTTTTCTTCATATATATTTTAACTTATATTATTCCTGTAGTTTTCGGACAAAGTAACAGTTGTTTGGAGTGGTCGTTTAACATCAACAGCCGGTCATTGTACGACTCGACATTCTACTCAAACAGCTATTATCACACTTTCAAATAAAGTTTGTGATTCACCTGGTTCGTATGAAAGCTTTTTTTAAGACTAAATTAACATGATTAACATTAGAACGTTGTCGCGATACACTTTTACATGAAATGTGTCATGCAGCTGTATCATTAATTGATGGTGTTATGGATGAAGGTCATGGTCCATTATGGCGTAAATGGACACGTCATGCTGAACGATGTTATCCTTACTTACCTGCAATTTCAGTTAAACATACTTATGATATTACTTATAAATTTGTTTATCGATGCATTCAATGTCAATACGAGTAAATGATACCGCAGAATTTGATGGTCTATTCTGTACCAGGATGTCATATATGCGGTTTGATAGAACAGATTACAGTGTATCGACTGGTATATAACGAATTAAGTTTTATGGAAATTTTGATGTGCAAAGGATCGATACACTGCTTATTATACTTGAGTAATATAATAGAGCACTCATAGATATTATGATTCTTAAAATGTTCTAAGATAAACTTATGTACATTTTGTTTCTAAACTTAGTTCAATACAGTTATAGATACTCTTCATTTTTCTATAATTAATAGTTTCATCGTTGCTTTCTTCATACTCAGAAATGATCCTTTTTCTTTGATCTAGGTTATTTCTTGACTACTTGATATTTCAGTGTGTTCAATTCTATGTCAGAGAACAAGAGTATCCATGTGAAGCTTTCTCAAGTAATTATACACTATCGAGCTCTGTATGTTTCACATAGAGCATCTTTCAAAAGAGTAGGGACCCATTGTCAACTTGCAAGATTGTCCCCTAAAATAGTCTATTTTCCTATTTGAAGGCACCGGTATATTAATGATACTTTAACAATATTCAACGATCCTATTAAAAATCTGTATGTACTAATAATCAAGACCACATTTGTGATGAACAGATATAAATAACTTCATAAATGAAAAAAAAATATTTTGATCATCAGATCGTTAGAGAGAAGTACGAATATAGGGTTTCATTAAGAACTTATGTTATTTTTATAATTGCTTCTTCAAATTTTTATTCCGAATATCCAGATTTGCTTTTTGTATGAAACTCTATAAGAATCTATAACTATATCATGTTCATTTGAAAAATAAATTTTTCCATATCTCATACTCTCCTTCAGGGATTTGAAGACCAAAAAATTTTGTTTCCATTTATGAAGAAGTTATTTTTATCAGTTCATCAAGAATGCTGTGCTGATTATTAGTACATGAAACTTTTCAATAGGACTGCTGAGTATTGTTAATATATCGTCAATATATACCGGTGTATTTATAATATAGGAAAACAAGCTATTTTAGAGAATAGTCCTTGCGAGTTGACAATGGTTCTTTGCTCTTCCGAGAGATGCTATCTGTACAATATATAGAGCTGGATAGTGTGAAATTTTTGAGAAAATTTCACGTTGGTTCTCACTTGTTTTGTAGTACAATGTTAAACACACTAGAATATCATATAGTCAAGAAATAACCTTGACCTAACAAAAGGGATCATTTAAAAAAAATAAAAAAAACAACAATGATCACTATTGGTTATAGAAAAATGAAAAGCACGTATAACTGTATCGAATTAAGTTTAGAAACAAAATGTGTATAAGCTTATCATAGAACATCTTGAGGATCATAATATCTCTTAAGCATTGTAACTGGTTTATCGACCTTAACACCTCAAAATTTTTATAAAGGCTTATTTTCTTATATATCATTTGATGCGTGGCAATATGCTATATAAAGCACATATATGACATCCTCGTTCCGGATAGATGATCAAATTTGACGGGATTCTTTATTAGCTTTAAATATTTTACTAAAAATTGATTTGTTTTTAAGAGTTTATCGCCATTCAAAATCACTCGATATTGAAATTGATTTTTGTGGAAAATGTAAGGGAAAATTTCAATTATTATTAAATAATAATCAAACAAATGAAGTTCAAACACCAAAGAAAACATTAAATCGATATAATTTATTTATAAAAGAACATTTTCAAACAATGAAACAAGCTCAACCTCATTTATCAACACCACAATTAATGAAACATTTAAGTCAAGAATATAAAAAGAAAATACAACAACAAAATGATATTGATTTACCTGACTTAGAACAGTTAAAAATTTAATTATTGTCTTTTCAATTATCTTGTATATGTTAGAAAATTTATGTAAAATCTTTTTTTTCTTGATTTTGTTAATTGATTATAAAATATTAATTTGATTAAAATGACTTTTTTTTTTTGACATATCGCCTTATCATTCATATAGAAAAATAATCATATTTCTTCTGTTTTATAACATAAAATATTGTTATGTATCTTTCGATAGAGGTCACATTAAAAAGAAAAATGTGAAAAGAAAGTGTCATCGTCCCGACAACGCATTAAAAAATGTCGACTGTTTTCTTTTCATTTTAACTTTCATATTTTTGTTGGTGTTTTTTTTGTTGTTGTTGTTGTAAAATGTCATCCTTAAGAGATAGACAAGGTCCACCTCCTGAACAATTATGGAAATCTTGGGATCGTAAAGCACGTAAACAAGGTTTTCATTCTACAATTTATTCATCTGATGGTTCACAATATAAAGGAGAATGGAAAAATGATAAAAAACATGGTTAGAACAAACTTAATGAAATAGGAATCTAGTTTTTTTTTTATTTCGCATAGAATAGGTAAAGGCATTTATATATGGAAATCTACAGGAGATTTTTATGAAGGTGATTTTGCTAATGATGCACGAAATGGTTTTGGTACATTAACAGTCAAAACATCTGATGGTAAATTTCAACGACAATATGCAGGTGGTTGGAAAAATAATATGCGACATGTAAGAATGTAGAAAGAAAAATATTGAAATATCATTATATTATAGGGATATGGAAATTTATTCTTTTCGGATAATGAATATTATGAAGGAGAATTTTATGCTGATAAACGAAATGGATGGGGACGAATGTTCTATACTGATGGATCAACCTATGAAGGACAATGGCTTGATGATAAACGACATGGAACGGGCATGTTACGTTTAGGTTAGATAGAATTCATTTTTATTATTATTCATAGACGTGATTATGTTCTTTGTTTTTTTTTTTCTAGCAAATGATAATCGTTATGAAGGCGAATGGCGTGATGATAAGAAACATGGTCATGGAAAATTTTTCTATGTTACTCGAGGACAACTTATGGAAGGTTTATGGGTTGATGATATTTGTAAAGCAGGTGAAATGAAAGATTTTGGACGAGATCAAGCTATTTTACCGACGCCTTATCCTATTCCTGATGTAAATTATTACTTTCTTCTCTTTTCTTTATAGATATGAAAAAAAAATACTTTTTTTTTATTTAGTTATCACTAGCACAACCTGATCAAGTTTTGGCAGAAGCTGAAGCCACATTTTTGGCGACAGATGGATAATACGTTTTATTGTATTTTCTTATACTGTATTTTGTGAGATTTTTATCTATTAAAAGTGTCATTTATTTTACCAAAGATCAGACATTTTTAATAATATGTGCTCAAAAATGATAGATATATGTCACGATCAATGTTGATTCTTTTATTTATATTAATACGAATTCATTGTATCTTTTTTCAATTTTCTTTATGTTCGACATGATGCAAATAATCAAAAATATTTGTTAGATGTTTATCTATTATAGAAATTTCGAATAATGTAAAAAAGAAAATATGAGAAAATAGTTTGATTTGAGAATGATTTGATGACAAATAATGCTTTTTGTCGATTAATATTCTAATAATCTTTTATTCAAAATTTAATAATGTCAATAAATTAGATATTTATTCATTGATCTATTGTTGTAAGAATAACGATAATTATAGAAAAAAGCTATTTTATTTTCTAGTTCACAAAATACCTATTGTGAAGTTTTCTATTACTGAAAACAACAATGAAGTATTGGTTGATCGTATTTTTATAGTTTGTTAAAGCACAAATAGTATCGTTTGATTCTCTTTCTCTAAAATTGCATGACAACGACACATTTACTGTGATTCCTAATTTTGTATCATGTTTTAAATTAGAGATAGGAAACAAATCAAATCCGAACCAATTTTGTTTTAAAACCTAGTCGAGCCGAACTGAACCGAATTCGAACTCTTTTTTTTAAACAAAGATGAGTCAAACCGAATTTGGACTAGTAAAAGTCTGTTCGATTCCGTCTCTGTTTCAGATATCAATATCTACTCACATGTTGTATAAATACTGAGCATGTCGTCCTGGAATTGAGAATCTAGATTTGAACGTTCTGGAGATAATGATTAACATTAAAAACTTTAATTCTGTTAAACCAGCGAGCCACTATTAAACGCAGTGAACCAGTATCAAAAGAAAGAAAAATAATTCAAGTTGCTTTTAGTATAATACGATATTAAAATATATTTAGTTCTGTGAACGCATTATAACTCGTAAAATCAATAGCGAGACCAACATAAAAACGTGTAAAATCCGAGAAAATTACACGTTTTTAACAGGTTGAAGATGGGTTAACGTGTTTTAACTGGTTTTCAAATTGCGTAATAATGCCGTTTTTTCAAAGGTCTTGTCTGTCTGGGCAGCTGAATGTTAGCCATTATACGTATTGGATGCTTGAAAATGTGTGTGTATACATACTCCATCAAGAATGCAGGTCCGTAGCAAAACCATGTTTCAATTGGTTTAATGGAATTATGATGGATCGAACTGGAAGATACCTATTTCTCGTTTGAGTTTCATAACTTTGGAAAGGAAAGATCTTTTGGATCACTGAACTCTCATTATCTAGTAGTATGTTTCAGCTATCTACTTTTCCAATTACGCAATAAAGTTTATTAACTCTTTTTAGAACTGTAGCTGTTTTACTGAGACAATTACTATAGAGAAAAACCGTATATTACCATTTAGAGACCAGTAATACAATAATAGTTCAACAAACCAACTGCAAACTTTTCGAAAAGCTTCCTCTGAAGCTGAACATTATTGTCTAGCAGTTTCACAATCCAACTTGGTACGACAGCAAAATGGTACAGTCGTGATCAGCGTGTTGATGTCGAAGATCCAGAGAGAGCTCTATATTCTAATTTTTGAACAAATGAGCTTCTTTTTTCTGTGTAAAGAAAGATAATAAGCTCGACATCGATTTCATTCAAAAATATCAAGAATCAGTGATGTATTTGATAAAAAAACAATGCAAACTTTAGTAGGTAGCTTCTTTTTACAGGTTATATTGCTTCAAGAAAAACGATGCAATCTATCATAATTATCGTTGTACTGAAGCAATCAGACTCTATTTGTGTCTCTAACATACATTTTTGGTGGAGTATCTGAATACAAAGTTTCAGATTTCCAGCACGTACAACAACTAAGATCTGAGTGAACGAGGACCTTTGTTCCCTACTATACTAATCATTTATTAGCATAAAAACGAATGTTTTGGTAAAGTGTCACGTTGAATGATTGAGAAACATTAATGAAATTATTATTGAAAATCACTAACTCTTATCATATTAAAAAACAAGAATATTTGTTGTGGAACTCATATATATTTTCGAAGAAAATAGTGAGTGTAAGTTTTAAAGTCAAGTTTTCGCAGCTCTCCCCTCACCATTGCAGACACTTAGCAACGAAAGCCGCCATTACAGACAACTGCCTATTACAGATCTTAGCAATCGAGAATAATAGGCGCCGGATTTTCAAAAGTGCTTTTTTTTCAAAATTGATCAAGTTATAATTTTGAAAAATAATGAATATCATTATTTGTGAGCTGATTAATATATATAATAGTGCGTAAGATCTGCTGTAGATATCATGAATATGTTAAGTATATTTATTTGTCAATTAGTTTAATGATTATAATGACAAGAGTGTTAAATTAAGAAAAACGAATTAAAATAAATGAAAAATAATCAGCGAATAGTGACAATTAAAACAAAGACTAGGGCACCCGAAATAAAAATTCTGTTCGAAATGCAGAAATTAGTGAGGTTTTTACTTCAGTGATTGATTACTCTGCAAAACAATTATTATCTACGAGAGATTTTCCACTTTACGTATTTTGTATTAGTTTAATGAGTCTAGAGTACATATATGAGTTCCACATTTCAGCTCGAAAAAGGCTGCGCTAACAAGCTTTTTAACTCCTGTTGGGTCATGTTTGACTCATTCGTAGAACGGACGCAGAAAATAAAGAAAGCATGAGAATCAAAAGTTCCCAACACAATATTTCTAGGGAATTTAACAAGCTATTGATTGATAAAAACAAGTATTTTGTTTAATAGCTCTCTCTCCAGGATATACAACTTGCAAAATCGATAATTTTCAAAAAAGTTTAAAAACACGAAATTTTAAAAGTAAAGTGTTTTTTTTCTTACGTCGGCAATAGAGACTCTGGGGATGCATTGTGTTATATATATATCTACGGAAACGTCTGCTATTGATCTAAATATGTTTCAAAAATTTCACAATAGTTTGGCTGATAAAGAATGGTAAGAGACAAAAGGTGTCTTGGAACGACTATTGAGCAGGAAGAGGCAGATGATGCATATTATGAATATATTATTTGTAAATCATGTCATACTAGTAGTTGAAAAAAATGTTTATCATCGACTGAACGTCTGCATTGATGATATTATTGTTTAATGAAAAATGTGTATTTTCAAAAAGGCTGTCTCAAAAATACGTGGTGCTTAACAATATCTTTTTATATATGTAACATTTCTTTTTTCATTGTAGCCTAATAAAAAAGAATAGAAGGTACCTTTATATAGTTAACACTGTCATAAAAAACAAAAGAAGTAGAGCTGTTAAAGTCGTTCCATTCTTTCCTGTGTTTCAGTGGTCACTATAGTTACTAAATTACCCTGCACAAAAGATAGTGAGCCCGATCGATCTACAAATACCATTGGTATATTTGAGAGATCAATATTCTATTTCTGTAGTAGTTCTATCAATGACTCTTCTGAAACCGTTATCGGGGGGTAAAGAGTTAATCTTCTGAACTTTTATTAAGAATTTATTCAGTAGCAAATATTCGAAATTCGTCATTTTCTTCTATACATTAAATTCGACTAAAACAGAGATGAATTCGATGTACAATATTAGTTAAGTTACAAATTCTATCATCATTAATCAACATTTCTTTAATATAACAATCGAATTGAGATTAATGATGCAGTCGATTGATTAGACCATCAGCTCAATCTATAAATGGCATATAATATACTCTTTGTAAATATAAATATTCAATATTAGATGTATAAATAAGAAGATTATCAATATCATTGAAAGTTAGTTCGACATAATTATTCGAAAGAATAAATCGTCGAAGTGAATTATTTAATGACGAAGACAATGTGACAGTATTATAATTTTTATAAAAAAAACATGAACTTGAAGATGATGAACATTAGGAAATGAAGCAAAAACGGGTAGAACAGACATTGATTTACACAAGAGGTTTCACACAAATTGGAGTACAGATAACTGATTAGTCGAATCTTTGATGTGACCAAAATTAGCATGACGAAGAAATAGAAAGGATCTTGTCGAAAATCATGAATTTTTTCTCGATCGGGAAACAGTATAAAATGGCAGTATTTTGCGAGTAACTACTCTGATGTCAATTTATACAGATTTGGTTTCTTTAATGGATAAAACTGTTAAGAGAGAGTCCATTAGAAGACTACCTTACTTTAGCTATTAGTCGCCGGAGAAAATTGTTTTTTTCCTTTGATATTGTTATCTCAAATGAAAAATCGAGTAAAATTATAGTTAAATCCATAATATTAAGTCATTTGGTTCTACCTGTGACAAGCACTAGTTAAAACAAGTATAATAAGTTTATTTTGATCCCTAAAAGTCGTCATAATGAGAGTAGGCTCGATATTTTGACATTATCTAAAGAATAGATCTGCTGTTTAAGCTCAGAGACGTCTGATGTTCTGAAGAACTGTACAGATAACAGATCCATTCTATTTAAACAACTAGTATTTACAGTAAAGAAAACGTTATAGATCAAAACCTGATTAAAATTCGAAAAAATCCGTTCCTTCGGAATAGCAGTATTTTGGACTTTTCGTGGTTGATGGAAGAGATCCTACAGTTTTGTTTTTTAACTACAGTTAGATCTCGTCAAGACGCATCCATTGAAGAGCGATATGAAGCGATAAAAACTTGAATTCAATAGCTGCTAATATTGATGAATTATTATCAAAACACTCGTACCTGTCCTATATATTTCACTTTCATCAGATGTACCAATGATCTTGATCGCAGTAGGTGCAAGTAGAAAATCATTCTAAAATGAGTTGACAGACCTTGTTTCATACGCTGATCAAGGGTCTGAAGTTAGTTTTTGAGAATTTGAAATAAATTTTATGACTTTTAAAGATAGGTTTATTGGTCACTAGGTATGGATGGT